GTGACTGTTGGTTTGCCCTTAACTTGTTCATGAATAAGTTGATGGTGTTTTTTGTCGCAAATTGCACATCTTTTTTTATTCAAGCACAACTTACTAAAATGCCCACTCTGAAGGCAATTAAAACATAATTTGGCGCTCATAATCTTTTCACGACGTTCCTGCACCTTCATATTCAGAAACTTTGAACATCGAATTAATTGGTGGTCACCATTACACACTAAACATAGCGTATGTATTGTATTTACATGCGTTTTTGTATTTACTGCTGTTGGTCGAAAATTATTCTTATTTTCGCGATTTGTGTCACGAATTGCCTCCAATCCTCTAACTCTGCTCTCGATAAACTCGTATAAGCTGCTCAATTTCGGTATTTGTGTTGATGCCCCTCTTGAATGTTGGTATAATTTTCTGGTTTCACCATCTAATTTTGGAAGCAGTATCTGTATAATTAGTGGATCCCAACTTGACGTGTCCACATTTAAATTACGTATACCATATAACACTTCTCTAGAAGAATCCACTAATGTTTTTAAATCCTGTACATTCTCATTTCTTATAGCTCTGAGCGACAATAACATATTGATAAGATTGTCCACAAGTATTGCTGGATTGTTGTATCTTTGTTTCAGTAGTTCAACTGCCGCTGTATAATTGTTCGCTGTTATTGTTAAATGATTGATAAGTCTGGCGGCTTCTCCACGTAGACTTCCTTTTAAGTACTGCATCCTTTCTACATCCACTAGATTATGGTTTTGTTGAACTAACCGGTCGAACAATTCCCAAAATGGACACCACTCTTCAATTCTGCCGCTGAATATTGGTACATTCAACGGTGGTAGTTTGATATTGTTACTTACGGTTGTTCTAGTTTCTGAAACGTTTTGACTGCGAACGTTCAGTTCTTCTTGTAACTGGATATATACTTCTTCGTATATCGATTCCAGTTGAATGAAATCTCCTTGGTCTATTTCATCATTGTTAAACAGACATTCATCGTTTAATTGTGAGATCTTTGCCCAACAATTCTTCAATTTTTCCAATTTTAACTGTAACGTTTCAATACTTTTCGTTAAGTCTATTGTCTCTTTGATCTGCAACAGACTTGTACTTAAGATTGCTAAACGTTTGTTCGTAATATCACATGGCCCGGTGATGGCGACTTCGTCATTGATACTTATGTCTTGATTCCTTGGTGACCGAGCTTCTTCTTGCCCTCTTATAACTTGATGCCTTGAAACTTGAGATTCCCTTTGCTCCATTTGCCTTATTATTTCCAATTCATTATTAAATCGATTTTCGATTTCATTCCGTCTTTGTTGTAACTGGCCATAGTAATTTTTTGTGATATATCATTGTTGTCTTCAAATGCGTTCCATTTCTGACGCAAATTTTCCAAACGAGTCTCAAAATACTGCTTTGAATATCTTGTAGAAGAATCCTTTTTAAAATTTATCCAGATCCTCTGGATCTCACCTTCAATGTCCTTTTGATGTTGGATAACTTAATCTATCTCTTCGATCTCCATGATGTCCTCTGTTAGTATTTGATTTGATTTGTTAAGCGCCTCGGTACACTTCTGCTTGTTTCACTTCGGTGGTACGTTTGCTTTCACTTCACTCCGATGTTAAAAGCCTCGGTACGCTTGTATTAACTTCACTCCGATGTTAAAAGCCTCGGTACGCTTGTATTAACTTCACTCCGATGTTTAAAGCCTCGGTACTCTTTTATTAACTTCAATCTTAGACTTAAGTCTCTTTGTTAGGTATATTTGAAACTCTTACCACTGGTGGGGGAAACTTTAAATATCCGGCTCGAAGGACCAAAAATGAACAAGAATGTTCATTAACAATCTTTATGTCCCTTACCACTGGTGGGGGGAAACAATAAATGATTGGTGAGACGTTGATTTACTTTCAACAACTGATTTTATTTAAATTGATTTGTTCTTTTATACAAAATAAAATGCAAACGTAATTGCAAAACATACAATAAATAAAATAACTTATTGCTTAATTCGCACAAATTGCTTAATAAGCAATAGTTGCGAATGCTTTACTTATGACCTAATTTTTACTTTTTGTTGATTCGTCAACCAAGAAATTAAGCAACAGGTGTGAGCGATTAACTCATGACCTAGTTCTTAATTTTTTGTTGATTCGTCAACATAACTGAATTGACAAACAAATACTTGGGTATTTTTAACAAGGCATTTATCGAAATGCAAGAGGTAGAAAATGCTCAGGAAAAGCCGCCAAGGCAACACAATCAAAATCCAATGCAGCTTCAACAAAATGAAGAATTATCAAGAGTGTTGCGTAATCAACGAGCACTCATAAATGTCATTGACAGATCCAGTCAAAAAATTGAAATGGCAAGCCAAGAATCTCAAAATGAAGTTTTTTATTCTTGCAAGCTTGCTTTCATAGAAGGTTATCACAAAGCATTCGATAACAACAATGAAAAAATATGGAATTCTACATCAGAAGAATTCATTGAAAGGTACTCCTGGGAATTGTATTATGAAATTAGTCAAAAACTCCAAGACATGGAGATTTGTTTGAAACTCAAGCTAAAATCATCCAATTCTCACTACCAGCACAATTCAACAATTCAGGCAGTTAAATTACCACAGTTAACGATTCCAACATTTGACGGAAACCAGCTGAAGTGGGTAGAGTTTCGAGACCTGTTTACACAACTTATAGACGAACAACCATTCAAACCTCTCCAAAAGATGTTCTACTTAACAACTAACTTGATTGGTGATCCCAAAAAGCTGATAAAGCATTTGCCAGCATCAGCTGAGAACTACATTACCGCATGGGAGATTCTGAAGGCTAGATACAATAATGGTAGATTATTAGTTACCGCATTGTTAAACAAATTATTCGCATTACCAGCAATGACAACTGAAACCGCTTCTGGCCTTAAAACATTGCATGACATTTCACAAGAGTGTTTATTGGGACTTAAGGCGCAGAACATTCCAGTCGAACATTGGGACGTCATAATTGTTCATATGACGTTGAAGAAATTAGACAAGATCACACAAACAGCATTTGAGCAGTCATTATCAAACAATCGAGAGCTGATCACTATGAAGGAACTATTTCAATTTATTGAACAAAGGTTCCAATCGCTAGAAACAATAAATAATAGCGCATCAATTAAAAAATGGGTTAAGACAGTGGCTACAACTAACACTGCACCAGTTAAATGTCCAATATGCAAGAGAGATAATCATCCAATTCATCTATGCAAGCAGTTCCTGGATGACACCCCAGCTAAGAGGCTACATCTCATAAAATCATTGCAACGATGTTTCAATTGTCTAAAAAATGGTCACTTCACAAAAGACTGCACATCAGGCAGTTGCTTAAAATGCAGCAAGAAACACAACACCTTGCTGCATTTAGAAGGCACACTTGAAGCATCCATGATTAAGAAGGCATCATTATCAAAAAATCCTGCTTCTCTGTTCTCCAACAATCTCAACATCCAAAAAAATTATGTGGTATTAGGAACTGCACGTGTTGTCGTTAAAGGCAACAATGGAAGAGAAATTGAGTGCAGAGCATTATTGGATTCCGGCTCCCAAGTCAACCTGATAACCGATCAAATAATTAAGAAGTTAGGTGAAAACCCGAAAAAGACCTCAGCATGTATAGAAGGTGTGGGGCAAAAAAAACAAGATGCGCAACAACGAATCAATTTAGCTTTCTCGTCCAGAATTAACGGATTTAGCAGCCGAATAGAGGCTTATGTATTACCTAAGATTGTGTGTGACCAGCCGAGCATTCATATTGAAAGCTCAAGCTGGAAAATACCACAGAACATCAATCTGGCAGATCCGTCGTTCAATACCCCAAACAAAATCGATCTCCTACTTGGAGCTGAGTTTTCTCATCAACTATTGTCCATCGGCCAAATAAACCTTGGCAGAGGTCTCCCCATCCTACAGAACACATTGCTTGGGTGGCTTGTGGTGGGAAAAATATCTAACCAAAATTCAATTATTTCACCACAAGTTTGTGGAATATGCTCTGAAGATGAGCAAGATACGATGAAGGTTATCGAGCGGTTCTGGCAACTAGATGAACCAGAAAAGGCAAACAAAAATCTGTCTCCTTCCGAAGAGTTGTGCGAGTCTCATTTTGCAACTTATATGAAAAGGAATCAAGACGGTCGATTCAGTGTCAGATTACCCTTCAAGCAAGATCCATCGTTGCTTGGTGAGTCAAAACACATTGCCATTAACAGGTTTTTAGCGTTGGAAAGAAGACTCGATAAGGATGTAATACTCAAAACACAGTATGTACAGTTCATGAATGAATATGCTGATCTCGGACACATGGAAAGGGTTGACATCAACCAAGTTAATCCTCATTATGTCATCCCACATCATGGCGTTTTACGGCCCGATAGCAGCACCACGAAATTAAGAGTGGTATTTGATGCATCGTGCAAGACGAGTAGTGGACTATCGTTAAATGATACAATGTTTACTGGCCCTACAATTCAAGAGGAATTGTTTGCGATTTTACTTCGATTCAGGTGCCCAAGATTTGTCTTTTGTTCTGACATTCAAAAAATGTACAGACAAATTATTATTCAGCCCGAAGATCAAAGATATCAATTAATAGTCTGGAGAAGCAATAATAACGAACCCTTACAATTTTATCGATTAAAAACAGTCACCTATGGAACACGATCAGCCCCATATCTGGCTACTAAATGCTTACAACAGTTGGCGAAATCTGAGTTGCAAAAATATCCACTAGGTGCAGCAGCACTAAGTAATGACTTCTACGTAGATGATTGCCTAAGTGGATCAAATAGTCTCCAAACTGCCAAAGATATACAAACTCAGTTAAAAGGTTTGTTGGAATCAGCAGGATTCAAGCTACGTAAATGGTGTGCCAACCATCCGTCACTTCTTCAAAATATTGCAAAAGAAGATCAAGAAGTTGATTTGGACTTTCAAAGTGACGACGCAACATCAATCAAAACATTAGGATTGACTTGGCAACCAAAAGAAGATCAATTTCGCATAAAATTTAAACTGGATCCACTAAAAATCATTACTAAAAGAACCATTACTTCGAACCTAGCCAAAATTTTCGACCCATTGGGACTACTAGGTCCAGTACTCGTAACAGCAAAAATACTAATTCAGGACCTATGGCAACTACAATTAACATGGGACGAAGCAGTACCAACCGAAATATACACTAGGTGGACTACCTTTTATGACGATCTACAAGTACTAGAGCAATTTAAAATAGATCGTCATATATTCGGAAAACAGATGCCAGCACTTGAATCAATACAATTGCACGTATTTTGTGATGCTTCACAAAAGGCATACGGAGCCGCAGTCTATGTTCGAGCGAAACTAATGGATGGTCGACTAATAAATCGATTGTTGTGTTCCAAGTCTCGTGTTGCTCCACTCAAAAAACAAACGATTCCAAGGTTAGAACTGTGTTCAGCTCTATTAGGAGCGACATTGATGAAAAAGGTTAAGAACAATATAAATCATGATGTAGCAACATATTATTGGACTGATTCAGAAATCGTTCTCTTCTGGATCAATTCTTCATCAGCAAGGCATCAACAATTCATAGCAAATAGAATCAATGCAATTCATGAAATTAGCTTGCCTAATCAATGGCGTCACGTAAGATCTAAGGACAACCCAGCTGACTCATTATCACGGGGTATCAAGCCAGCTCAATTACTCGAAAATAACTTGTGGTTATACGGTCCACTCTTTCTTCATGGTTCCGAAAGCAACTGGCCTGGCAAATTCAATAAAACTCTCTGTATTGATCCGGTGAATCCTGAATGGAAACAAACGACAAGGGAAGTGGCCTTAATCTCAACTGATTACGATATCCATTGGATCGATAGAATCAATCACAGGAATTCATTTAGAACTCTACTACATACGGTAGGATATATGCTGCGATTTGTAAATCGGGCAAGGCGAACCAATTTAAGCAATATCACTATGGCTCTAAGCCCTATGGAACTGGAGCTGTCACTCAGGCATATAGTGAAGTACATACAACAGTCAGAACTAAAAGAAGAATTAATTCAGTTAGAACGCAACCAAACAGTAAAACCTGCAAGTACACTTGCTGGACTGATGCCATTTTTAGATGAACACAAGATAATTCGCGTGGGGGGAAGGTTAGAAGCATCATCACTTACATATGATGAAAAGCATCAGATAGTCCTTCCATACAATAACCCT